TTACACTTTGACTAGCTTATCAATTACACTTTCATAGCATAAATTACATAAACTATGTCCCAAAGCTTAAATACATCATGCAACTAATCTAAACAAATTATAAAGATAAAATCAACTAAATAGGGAATTAGAATACCAAATTAAAATAGGGAAGCCATGTTTCGGACCCCTTGTGCTGGGGCCACGCAATCGAGCCCTATAAGGACTTAATTTTGTCCTTTGGGATTGTACAAAGGTGGTTCATTCTCACAAGAGTGTCTAATCCAAATAGAAAGAAGTTGCACACCTTAAAATCACTTCTTAAGATCTCAACACACAAGCATTATCATCCAAAACGGAATGCAAAAGGTTTGAATCGAATCGGATATAGAACAAGAGAGTTATGGCCAAATAACACACGATGGTTCCTCGGACCACCAAAACAGTCTTGTATGGAAAGATTATGAACCCCCATAGGTAAAAAACGTGATGAAAAAGTTCTGAAAATGGAGTGACACTCTAAGACTAAATTATTTGATGCGTTTGAAACAAAGTAATTAATGGATACTATGCATGATCAAGGATTCTCATGCATATAGGCTATAACTCATGAAGGACCACACTATGTATAAGCATGATGAAAAAGATGATCAAACGAGGATTCTAAGATCAATGAAACTTTTCTAAATTCAAAACTCCAGCAACTATAGATGCCAATAATATGATCTTTTGAGAAAAGAAAATTCAATGGAGTTTACCTTGATAAATGTACACTATGGATTTAAGCATAAGAAAGGAGGACCACCATCAAGATCACTATTAATGGAACTCTAAAAGCTCTCTCTCTTCAATTTTCTCTCACAAAACCTTAGAAGGAGGTGAGAAGCAACAATTTTTCAAAATGGTTCAAGAGTTGAGATTGTTAGGGTTTGAGATCTCATGCTGTGCTTTTATAACATGGGTGTAACTTTGGATTCAATCAACACCCTTGATGCACTAATCCAAAGGCACATGAGAGGTTAATGTACCTAGCCACCCATCCCCATCCAACCACTAGGATGAAGGGATGGGATTTCACACCATTGTCGCTTACCTTAACCCTAAGTTATGCCACTTTACTATTTTGTTCTTAGCCCATGTTTTTAATCCAATTATATCCAATATGACCTTACAAAAATACCCTTAGTTTTTTTAATAATGTGGTAGAGTAGATAATCACAAAAGCTAAAGGGGAAAGAAGTAATTGGCAAAGCTCACACATGTGGAGATATTCTTCATTATCAAAGCCAATCACTTTGTAGATCTAAAATTTCAAACTAATCAGTTTAAAGATAATGTCCCCTTCGCACATGTGTGTGAAGATATTTTTCAACTCAAATTTGAAAATGCATTTTCTCTTTAATATCAAATAAATTAATTAATTAAACTTCACACATGCCATGCATGACCCATGTGTGAGTTAATTAAGACATGTGATAAAAAGGGGACCTTAATTTATAACATTATATAAAAAAAATATAGCAATATATAACAAGACACCAAAACACAACCCCTTATTAAACAAGCAACTAAATGCCAATCTAGTCCCCCGCCTAGGGATCAGTGCCCAGCTGGGCGGTGATCCTAGAGTGAGGTGCGGGGTGCCATGTGGCAGCCCTATGGCCACTTGGACGCCACATGGCACTACCAGGTCAAGACCAAAGTGGAATTTGAGCCAAACAATATGAAAACTCTTATTTTTTTAGCAAATAAAATTCCGAAAAATTCTCTAAAATTCATAATAAATATTTAAAGTATTTTTAAGCAATTATTAGGTTTTTCTCATCATTATAAAATTGGACAAAAGGTATCGTGAGATCTCAAGCTATTAACTATAGGTATCGGGGTACCCCATTGGGCTAGTCCCGAATGATGTTCCACCGAGTCTCAGATCGACCCAATAGACCTATGTTCCATAGTCTAAAGCAGGGACACATAATTGGTCATATCAGAGCCGTTGAGTCAGAACTTCCGATCATTCGGCTCTCAATGGATTACAGGTGTACCCCTATGGGACATGATCCAACTCAGTTACAGGTGTCCTCTCAAAGCACATGTGCACTGGCTCTTCCAAACTCGGATAATGCATTTGGAAGAGTGGCTTCCCGTTGAGTCAGAACTTCCGATCATTCGGCTCTCAATGGATTACAGGTGTACCCCTATGGGACATGATCCAACTCAATTACATGTGTCCTCTCAAAGCACATGTGCACTGGCTCTTCCAAACTTGGATAATGCATTTGGAAGAGTGGCTTCCCGTACGAAATGAAAATGCACATGCCATGTAATGGTCTCGTGTCAGGATATGGACTTATGTCTCATAAGTCTTAACCATTTCATACAGGGCGAATACTCAATAAGTACTCGGGTTCTCCAAGCCTGAGCCGATTGCAGCTAAACTTGAAGCTAACCTATAAAATCCTGACTAGAAGGTGACCCTTACACCTCATTGAGAAACTGCCGTGAACTCTCGATGCCTCATGCGTACTCGGGGTAAACTTCTCAGCCATTTTTAGGGCACTTTGTGGAAGAAATTAGGTACACGATTACTTTTCAGTAATGCCTATCACCTAAAGTAGATGGGCTGATTGAAGTGGTAAACCATACTCTTAGTAATCTTCTCACAAGTATTGTGAGGGAAAAGAAGAAACAATGGAATCTAGCACGGCCTTAAGTTGAGCTTACCTATAACAGTGCTAGTAGTAGGCCTACTTGTAAGAATCCAACTGAGGTGGTATATGGGAAGAACCCTACCCATTTGTACTTGTTTCCTATTTAGAGTAATGGTGTGGGTCATGCTACTGTTGAGGAGTTGTTTGTGGAGATGAGCGAAGTCCATGAGTAGGTGAATGCTAAGTTAGAGGCCAATACAGAGAAATATGAAAAGTTCCTAACAAACATCGTTGTTTAAAGGAGTTTAAGGCGGGAGATTGGGTGATGGTGTACAGAAAGGAAAGGCATCTACCTGGCAAATACAACAAATTGAATGGCTGCTAGGCATACCCGTTTAAGATTTTCAAGAAGATGCGCAGCAAAGCTTACAAGGTTGCATTGCCTTCACATATAGAGACTGCGGTAATATTTGAAGAAGATGTGCAGCAACGCTTACAAGGTCCCTTTGCCTTCACATATCGAGGCTCTGGATGTCTTCAACTTTGCTGATTTGTTCAAGTATCTTGGGCTGGATGAAGGCTCTAACTCGAGGGTTAGTTCTCCTCAACCCGTGGAGAATGATTATGCACAAAGTGAATCAAGTGGACAAAATGACGAGTTTCTCCTATGGAAGCAATAGATTCCTCCTAACTCCCCTGTATATTTGGAGGATGTGAACCCTAGGAGGGCTACCAAGAAGAACTAAAAGAACAAGCATTGCTTGGGATGATTTTCTAGTTATTTTTAGGTTATTTGGGTTATTTTTCTGTTAGTTTTAATTGGGTTTATTTTCTGTGCCAGTTGGGGGCTTTCTAGGCATTTTATTTATAGTAAGCGTCATTTATTTTAAAAGTCACTTAAATTAGGACTTTGGGCATTTTTTTTGTTATATGGACACTTAATGTCTTTAAGCATTAAGTAATAATATATAAGAGCTGCATGGGGCTAGGGACAGCCATTCATGTGACTTTTCAAATTGAAAAAAAAGAGAGAAAGCTTAGGCATTTGGAAGCCTTAGTTGGGGTTTGAAGATGCAACTCTAGACTACTTCTATTTGTTGCTTGCTCTTGGCCTGAAAGTTTGCTGATTTTACTAATCTCTATCAATTTTACAACATCAGTAATTGTGGTTTAGATTTTCCTGCTATTGCTTCTTTGGTTATTTATTTTTTCAAATTTATTAGTGTATTGTTCTTGTGTATTTGGATTTCTTGGAATCAGTTGTTAGTGACTGACAAGTTGGTTTAGAGTGCTGGATTTGTTGTTGTCGAAGGGGTGAGCACAACAAGTAGTAATCGAGTGAGTCTTGTTTTTCCACTTTTTTTGTTGGAGGCTTGTTTTTCAACTTGTATTAAAGAATGAAACAACCCTCAAGAAGGGATTTGATATTGTAGAACTTTAACTGTTGATATACTTGATGAAATGCCACATTCCTAGCTACGTGTTACAATTTATTTATGTCAAGCATACTCTTGACTTATTGAAACGAGACTTCTTAGAGCTAAACCTCGTGAGTTCCTTGTTGAGCGAAGTGCTATATTTCCCAGGCATGTCGGGAAGCCTTTTAGAACTATGACAGTGTAAGATCAAAGCTTCTTGAATATCCTTCATCACAAAACAAAATATTAGTCTAAAAGTGTTCTTTCCTATCATTCTTTCTGACATCCTTCCTTCAATCTATCCTTGATTATATTGCTATGAGAGAGATCTTCCTCTAATCACTATCTTGGTATAGATTTGCCTGTTAGTTGCATAGATGCCAAAATCATGGATATTTCTGTTTCTGTTTGTAAATATAAAAGGCTGATTTAAATGATTCAACTAGATTTCCTGCTTCAATTTATTTTCTTTTGATTTGGAAAATTTATGCTCGCCTTAGTATGATTTCCATTTAATAAGATATTTAGTTTTAGATTGGTATAGAGACCTCTCCAAGATATTCTACATCTCCCTTAGTTGATCCATCGAGTCAATGCTCACTTTTAATGGTGGTGTTCTGTTGTTTATTGATTGCTTTCTCTTACTTTTTTGTAGTACAGTGCATCAAATTAGTTGTGATTTGTCAAGGTTGTATCCTTTGTGTTCGTGAATGTTAACGAGTTTTTTATTGCTTTTTTTTTCCTTAGGCAAATGCCATGTACTTGATCCAATGATTGTGTCAATGTCACATGTTCCTACTTAATGTTTTAGGCTTGTGTTAGGAAACAGATTGGTTTAGTTAGTGTAGGTTTCTTCCTTGCCCTTCGTAAAAATTCTATTAGCTATTTGTTGCTTCATTCGCATGCTATTAGTTACAAATCTGATTGTTATTTTGGTGTCCTTTTCTTGCAGGAGTTGAATGTTGCATACCATAGTTTTGCGCAGCTATACAGCAAGTTTTTTGGACTACCTCACATATTTGCTATACTTAAACTTCTGGGATCTAGATCAATCCCATGGCTTATTAGAGCTTTGCTTGATCTTCTAACAGTCAAGGTAAACTTTACCACGAACAATTGAGACCATTGGTAAAAATGACAATCTAAGGATTTGTGTGCTGAAGCATTACAGATTTCTTTATATGTGTGTCTATTAGAATGATTTGCTTGTTTACATGATGAGACATCATTGGGGGAATTGAAACTTTGCAACATCATTTCCTTCTTGAATTTTGTTCTGCTTTTTGAATCTTGACTTATGATTTCTTTCTAACACCTTTATTGTCTGTTTGGTTTAGTGTTTGTAATTTTTCCACCTCCGATGTGATGAAGATCTGTTATATTACTGATGTATGAAAATCCTAATCCATTGATTGAGATCTTGCATACCAAAAACTAATATGGCTGGTTTCTAACTTGCATATTGGCTTGACTCCAAATTAATTTTGCTAAAGTTATTTTTCATTTATTCTTGGTTATTCAGATATTTTCACCTCTACATAGTGCGTAGCGTCATAGGGAATGTGATAGTATCTGATCCTTCATTCAAGACTATCACTTATTTATGAAACTAGTGTTGCCTTCTTGTTACAAAAAGTTAAAGTAACTTGCTTTTCATCAAAATTATAAGATGTGAAATAGACTTGGCTAATTTAATTTCCATTTAGATTGGGTTTCAAGGTTTATGTTCACAAATATGCCACTTATAGCATGGCTGATATGATAGAAGTTCGGTGTTCTATTTGTAGAACGCCAATGATCACTTGTCTATATGGATTTTCCACGAACTTTTGCTATTTCCTTCTAATGCCTAAATGTAATATGAAAAGAGCTATGTACCATTTAAAACTAAATACTCTGAAGAAAAGGGAACATAAATTATTAGATTACCCAAGATCTTCACTATCAAATATAGCATTAACATTTAGGTTCATTTCTTCTGCTCTATGTTTTGTTTGCGAGTCTCAAGGAGTAATGTTTTTCTAGTGCAAGTAGTAATGTGTGACTCTATTGCCAAGAAACAATCATGAAACTGGTTATTTGGGCAAGAAGCATTGAATGCTATCGTGATTCATTTCCCCTACTCTAAATTGAAATAAGATTGAAGGTCCACATTTCTTGATTCGCTCATATCACTTTCTCACTTGTTCTTGATGATGGAATTATTGATTATTTGTCTCATGTGTTTTTTCTTAACAAAAAAGAACTTAGAAACTTTGTGAAAAATGAAGATAGGAAAGTGATGGAGGGCAAAGCTATGCATATTTTTAATATTTGTTTAGTTTCAAAGGATTCATCTTTTTACAGTGTTAAAAAATGCGGATTCGGCTACCTAGGCATATTGGGGGCTAGGCGGCCAGGAGCCCGCCTTGGCGCCCAGGAACAGGGACGGGTAGCGACCATTCTCATAAGAATTTAATATATAGCTTACTATGTTTGTTGTACAATAGGACTTTACTCATTAAGATATCATATAATTAAGAATTTAAGAAAAACATATATAATTAAGATGTTAGTTTCAAAACAGTATGAGGTATGACTGAATATTACTTTACAATAAGACTTAAATGAGTATATCAGATCTTAGTTTCACTTTCACATAAAACTTAACTCATTAAGATATCACATAAATACATGTCAATTATTTATCAAATAAAGTAAAACAAAAATAATATAATATCAAAACATGACACATTGTACAAAAATGAATCAACTATTCATAAAAGAATACGACATATGCTCAATTTCATCGACCAAATGTGAAAAAAATCAATTAATGACAAAATAAATCAATCTTTTACTTACAAACATGTAAACATATTGTAAAAGAAAAAAAAAGAAAGTAAAAGAAAAACACATCCATCACAACATAATATATTGTAGCAAAATAAATCAAAACCATCTTTCAAATCTGATAATATTTTAAAAATATCAAAATCAAATCGATGTCGGTATAAACCTCGTCTATTAGGTCGCTCAAAGTCCTCAAAATCAACTACTACAAGCTTTAAATCCACCCAAAAACTATTGCCTTTCTTTTGGAAAAAAATCGAAAAAAACAAAAAATTATCGATCTTTCCATAAATCTCAAAAGAGTGATTTTTGGGGAGTTTTTCTCACCCTAAAAGCCATGGTTTTTTAGAATACCCCCGAAAACACATTTTTCCAAATTTTATGGGGGAAAATTTTCAATTTTTTGACCTCGCTGTGACCCATTTTCCGCCCTTTTGCAACTTGTCGTGAGGCGGGCGCCTAGACTAGAGCGCCTAGGTGGTGCCATGCCGCCCCCCTAGGCGGGCACCTAGATGCAAGACGCTTTATCACCTCGCCTTATTAGTGCCTAGTTGATTTTTGAAATTTTGGCCTAGGCGGTCGGGCGGGCGAATTTTCAAACATTAATTTTCTTTGGCCTTAGGGTTTATTTTTTTAAGGTCCTAAGTTCTTTTTAGGGAGTCTAGAATTTTTTATATGTTTTAGAATTTTAGAAGATGTTCAGAAAAATGGCTAGAACACTTAGGGAACCTTTGTTTGGTGTATAAAGTTTTCCCCAGGAAAAATATTTACATATGTAAACACTTTGTAAGAAAAACTTTTGTAGACTTTCTTTTCTCCATGTTTGTTAAGATGTTTAAAAGACATTGTATAATGAATTTCATATGTTTGGTATTTAAATATGTTTTTTAAATATGTAAAATATATACATGCATTATTTGAATATTATTATTTACATATTATTAAAATATTATATTAATATTATTTAAATGTTATATCTATATCAAATATAAACATTATATAATATATTGTATTGTAAATATCTATTATATAAACAAAATATTATATAATAAAACATATTTGTATAGGGTGTGGTTTCTATAGGGTTGCAACCTTAAACAGTGCACCTCCAAATTTTATTGTAACATGTAATTTTGGTGTAAAATTCTTAGGATTATTTTGAAAATCTATTTTCTTATCTAATTACAGAATTTTAAACTCTAAAAATGGTTAAATTTAAGTAGATCTATAAAAATATCAAAATCTTGAAAATGGACGGTCTAGATAATGTGTTGCAAGATACACTATTTATGGGGCTCAAAATCTTTATTTTTTTCATATTCATACAGCTCAATGTTGAGATGATCAATTAGAGGGGTTTCTCAACATTAAAAATCCTTTTCCAATGGATTTTTGAGGTGCATCTGTAATTCTACATTTTAAGGTTGCAACCTTATATAAAACTTTTTCATATATTATATATGGTACAAATATATACTAATACTATAAATATAAATATATAATATTATATATTATATATAATATATAATAAAATATAATATGATCGTATTTCTATAGAGTAATGATATGTAAGACCCTCCCACACCCATATGAGTAGGACCCCAAAGGATCACCATTAAATTTTGAAACAGATCCCTAGAAAAGTTATCAATAAACC